AAGATGACAGTTAAACAAGTCTCACGGTCACCTCCCCGTTAGTGACCACATGTCTCAGATTTCTCAGGACAGATTTCTCAGTCTCAGACATTCCAGCCCATACTACTTAAATGTCCAGTCCTGGGGAAATAGTTGCACAAATTATGGTCCTATGACAACATGGGAAAGTATGCTGCCATTAAAATTAATGAGTCTGCAATAACATGAAATCCTTGTGTTTATTCATTCACAATAATATCTGAATCCTTATTGCACACCACAGATGGTGTAAAGGTGTTCAGGATATAATGAATTATATAGTATGAAGCATACGTGCTGTATAGTATAGAATGGGCTTCAGAACCAGACTGCTGACATTGAAATCACTGCTTCACCATTGAAAAGCCAGATAACCCCGAGTAATTTCCCTATATACTATGTGCGCCTCAGTGATTTCCTTTGTAAAACAGAGATAATATTAATATTTTCCTTAAAGGATCTTTGTGTGGATGAGATGAGCTCATGCATATGAAGCTCATAACAGTGTCTGGAAGGTAGTAACTGCTCAATAAATCTTAGCTGTATTACAATATGAAGTGCCTGTCCTTAAAGTCTTAGTTTAGTAAGAGACACAGATATAAGCAGGAAAACGATGGTATCATGCTAAGTGCAAGTAAGGATTTCCCTTCAGGCTAACATTATATCAGGAATGGAACAGATCAAGAGAGCCTTCCATTCATAAAAATAGAGACAGTGCATGACTGCCACTTGAGTCAGACTGGAAAACACAGGAACAAACAGTCTACTTTCTCCTGCATCCTGGTCTTCCTGACACCACTGAGCACTTCCGGAGTTTATTTCATCTTCAAAACTTCGCAAAGTCTGGGATGCACACAGACAAGAGATGGAAGAGAGAAGAAACAATACCGAGTGTGCAGGCAGACTTGTCGGCCTCCGCGAGCACAGGAAGGAGTGAAACCTGGTGCTTAACTTTTTCACAGGCTGGAGCATGAGGTTTCTTCAGTGCCGTGAGATCTAAAAACAGTCCTCACTTTGGTGACAGCCCAGGATGTTATTATATCTCACTGGGATCAGCTAGACTCTCCAAAGCAAGGAACCCTCCACTTCCCCCCAAAAGTCTCAACAGTTATTCCTTCCTTTGAAGTTGGAAGAGAGAATAAAATTACTTTCATCTGCCTGAAAAATAGTCAAGTAGAGAGGAATTCTATTTGGAATCAAAATGAGAATCAAATGAACTAAGCAGCTTAAATCTGAGTGAGCCCATGGTCTGCCTAAACTCTCTTTGGAGATGAGGTGATAGGTAAATAAATCTCCACCTGTATCAGCTTGGAAGCAAATAATACCAAACTCTGAATGCAAATGGCTTAAACAGGGAGGAAATTAATCATCTCACATGCCAGGAAGTGCAGAGGAAGGGCGAGGCTCCGAGCTGTGCTTCTCTGGGGCTCTTTGGGACCTGCTTTCTCCTGCGTGTTGGCTTCATCCTAAGGCTAGAGGCAAGATGCTAGAGCAGTTTAGACAGCAACATACAGAGGAAGCAAAGGAGCCACCTATTTTGTGTCTTTTTCCTAGTAATGAGCAAACCTTCCCTAGGAGCTCCACAACAGATTTTCCTTCACACCTCATTACTCAGACTTGGATCTCATGCTATTTCCTACACTGGTGTCTCGGGTGTGGAATGGAGCAGGCTAATCACTGTGGAGAACAATGCCTCCAAGCCCGCGTGACCTCTCCCCCACCCAGCGGGCTGCTGGGGAGGACTGAATATGTTAATATTTGGAAGAAGTGAACATGCTGTAAGGTTATCCTCACAGACAAACCCTGATAAGCTGCAGAATCAAACGCATTCTAGAATCAAACACATTCGGAAGTGCCTCTGTTGGATACTCCAAGCCTGAAAGGCAGCACGATGAATGATCTGGTGGAGAAGATTCGAACATGCCGACATGAATGCCCAATAACTACTTTATTCAGGGCCTGGGCCATTTTCAATGATTACCACTGAGATGAAAGGACAAAGTGACCCATTTGCATTTCTGTCCTGAGTGGCACCTGCAATAGTAGGCAATAAATGCAGAAGTGACACCGGAGGGGAGGGTTCCAGGGTAAAGCTGGGGGCATCGGGCAGGGAGACTCACTTGCCAGTAAACACAAAGGACTGAAATGACAGCAAAGGAATTGTAAAGAGCACAGGGCAGGAGTGTGTGTGGGGGAGACATACTAAGCTCTCAAAGACAGAGAACAGGAGAAACAATGATTGCAACAAAATTTTGGAAGCTGGAATGCAGACAGAATAGTGGTAAATGACTTAGCAGATGAGAGAAAGCTGACACCTAGCATGGCAGTGCAGAAAGCCTGGAAGCAGTCAGGGATTCCCCAGAGCATCTCTGGAATTGGAGGAACCATGCAGAGAGGGGGCCGGAGTGGGGGGGGGGGTGCCCAGCTTGCCTTTCTTAATCCTAGATACAAAGCGAGGGCCGGCCAGTGTCCTGCAACTAGTTTGCTCTGCTGAATCATGGCAGCTCTGGCCTCAGAGACACCAGGTATAGTTGAGGGAGGAGGTGCCACTTTAAAAAGAGAGGAATAAGAAGTCACCATACCAAATGATCAGACTTCTGGTCTTCTTCTCCTCTGGCTCCCAGAATGCTGCAGCCAACCAATTCCCCTCAGCTTAGGGGATTTCTCATCACCTGATCAGTTTCCCTAGACAATAAAGACGTTCCACTCCCACAGGTTTGGTCCTTCAATGCAACCATTGGTGAGCTAATCCTACAGCAGTGGACCGCCAGCCTAGCTGCACATTTGAATTACCTGGAGAGCTTTTAGTACTTGCTACTACTTGGGCCCCAGCAAGACTGTATATGTCATTTAGTTACTCAGCAAGTATGTATGGAAAGTTTACTGTGTGCCAGGCATTGTTCCAGATTCCAAGACACTGTTCTAGGTCTCCTCTTGGTAAGGAGGAGCTACTCCTCGGTATAAGCTCCATCCATGCAAACTGTCCAATAAGCTTTTCAATAATTAGTTGAGGTTCATCAGACATTTGAGGAAAGGCTTTAACATGGAAGAGATTAAAAACAAAAAACTAAGAAGAAATCAGAGGAAACAGAAACAGAGCAGGGAGTAGAGGAACACTTCAAAGACGCTGTAATGGAGATCCCAGAGAGTTGAGAAGTTTTTCACCCATGAAACAGTAACAGGAGGTGATAAAAAAAAATTCAGAAGTTTTTAAGGAGCTCTTGATGCAGACTTAAAAATAGGAAGATAAAATGAGGAAATTTCCTAGGAAGTAGAATTTTTTAAAAAGGAGACAGACAGTGAAAGAAAATTAGAGATTCAAGCCATGAGGGTCTCTTTCCAATACGTGTTCCAGAAGACAGGAAGGAATTTAAAAAAAAAAAACAAACCAAAAAACTCTAGAAAACTGTTCAGAATGGAAGGGCAGAGTTTCCAGATTGAGAAAGTCCACTGAGAGCCTCCTAAAATGGAGGAAAAAGATTGACACCAAAGTGTATGACAATGAAACTTCATTATAAGAGAAGGGATATTATGAGGTCATTACATATGAAATGTTCGATTTCAAATCAAAAGTGTAGTTTATTATATCTCAAACAAGAACCAGTACAATTATGCAAAATAAGCACCTAAACTATTGACATGGTTTTGGCATCTTCATGGTAGCTTGTTTATGCCAGTAGCGAAGAAGCATGGAGAGCGAGTGGCAATGAAATCGCAAAAGGCATTTTCCACAGCTCGTTGAGAATTGAGTATTTTCCCTTGCAAGAAGTGGTCCAAAGCCCGGAAGAAGTGGTAGTCAATTGGTGCAAGGTCTGGCGAATATGGTGGATGACAGAACGTTTCCAAGTCCAGCCTCTGTAGTTTAAGCAGCGTTATTTGTGCAACATGTAGTCAAGCATTGTCTTGCAAGAGGATTGGCCTGTCTCTGTTGACCGATCTCAGCTGCTTAATCACAAGAATCCTCATCATTTCATCCAGCTGGTTGCAATACACAGCCATTGTAATGGATTAACCAGGTTTCATGAAGCTATAGTGAATAACACTAACACTAGACCACCAAACAGACACCGTTAGCTTTTTCTTGATGACATTCTGTTTTGAACTGTGTTTTGGCACCTCATCTTTATCCAACCATCATGCCAAATGCTTGAGATTGTCAAAAACAATCCATGTTTCATCACATGTAACAACATGGTATAGAAATGGTTCTCCTTTATGTCATGACAGCAAAGACAGACAAGCTTCAAAACGATTTCTCTTCTGACACTCTTTTAATTCATGCAGAACCCATCCATCCAGCTTCCTTACCTTGCCCATTTGTTTCAAATGGTCCAATATTGTTGGAATAGTAACATCAATCCTTGCTGCTAATTCACACATAGGTTGAGATGGATTCACTTCCATGGCAGCTTTCAGCTCATTTTTTGTATTCATTTTGATCTACCTTGGTCTCAGGTAACCCACGTGGCTCATTTTCAAGATTAAAAATCACCAGAATGGAACTTCTCAAGCCATTGACATACAGTGTGTTCATTAGCCACATCCTTCCCAAACACTTTGTTGGTATTTCAAGCTGTCTACACTGCATTGGTTCCATGACAGAACTCACATTCGCAAATAACACAAATTTTTGACTGACCCATGGTTTCACAAAAATTGCTTTAAAAAAAAAAAGAAAGATAATCACAAACCACAACATGCATTTGAAAGACTGGAGGTGTACCTTCACAATAAACATAAAACAAGAAGAGTCAAAGTGAAATGTCAGAGATATCAACTGTCAAACTTAGTACTTAACACATTTACTGCCATGTGAGTTGTATTTAACTCATGCTAGTTTTGAGCCCTGGGTCTTGTGAAACATGTAACTCACATGTCTCTTCACCTTGGGAACCATGAGAACAAATCGATTTTCAAGTTGCATATAACTCATGCACAGAAAACAAAAAACAAATTTTTCATTAAATTAGGATCATTTTTTTCTGAATTTTTAATTCTATTTTCATAATAAAACACTGTGGCTCCAAGGAAAAAAAACTTGTTTCTAGTGTAGCAGTCGATGTGTTAAGGAAATTGGACATTTTATACTTAATAACCTAATACAAAGGACGAAGAGGAAATCCTAACAACTTGCAGATGGAGGGGGGAATAGATTGAAAGCATCAGGAATTAGAATGACATCAGACATCTCAATAGCAATATTGAAACCTGGAAAAGCAATGCTTTCCAAATTCTGAGGGAAAGGGATTGCCAACCTAGAGCACTTACTCTCTCCAAATTATTAGTCAACCTTGGAAGATCTCAAAACACTTGCCTCCCATGTATGCTTTCTCAAGATCTTCTGGAAGATGAATTTAAGAGAATTCATAAAAAAAGAACACAAAGAAAAAGGAAGACATGGGGTTTAGAAAATAGGGAATGCCACATGAGAAAGTGGCAAAATGGATCCCCACCGTGTTGATGACAGGAGACCCACGATGATGGCTGTGCAGCTGGCCTCAAAGATCCAGACTGGAGCAGGAGGACAGAGAGCTCATGAGAGCAGGGAAGACCATAGGCAGGTGCCCTTCCTAATTAGAAACAAGTACAAAGAGGTGAAAGCGGTTGTCTCTTGGGCACAGGAATGGAAGTTGGTGAGGAGTGTGGTGGGTGAGTACTGTTCCTAGTTATAAGCCTCGTATAAATACTTGACTTTTAAAACTATGTATTGTATGGTTTTGATAAGGGGAAGTTCAGGCCATCAATCAGATTCCAGAATGAGAACCCAAGCAAGAATCGGGAAGATTCTTGAACAGTGTCCTGGAGAACCCACTCTTGAGAAGGCAGAGCACAGGCACTTGGCCAACCCTCTGGCAAACAGAAGACATGAAGAAGGAGATCAGAAGCAGATCAGAAGAGACTTCAATGTCCCAGGAAACAGGATGCAATGGGGTCACTAGTCTCCTTTAATGAAATAATTCCTAAGTGTGACTTGCTTGGAGCTCACAGAGATCAGCAGACATGAAGGCTCAAAGGAAGCCTTAATATGTGCCAGGTGGGCTGGTGGGCAATTTAAGGAAGCGAACAGGCAAACAGAAAAGCAGTTTTTGGTGACTTTGCTGCTCTTGTGCTGTCTTCCTTTCCCTCTGGATTGGGGGGAGACTGAATGCATCTCCTCAACAGTTATACCCAGCAGTGCAGGCTTACAGAGTCAAAGAGCCTGGGGAGCATCGCTCAAGTTCACATCCATTTCCCCTGTCACTTTCCCTTGCATGTCCTATTGTCTCTCTGTTTGGGACTCACTCTGAGAAATCTTTTTCCCCATAGGTACTAACACAGGCCGCTTTCCCCAAAGCCCACCCTGTCAGTGAGTCCCGAGGCTGCCCCAGGGGCACTGGGTCTGACTGCAGATCCTGAGATATTAACTGTGGGTGGCTCCTGCACCCTCTCAACTCTAGTAACATCTCAGCCAAAGGAGAGAACCACAAAGCGCCTACAGGTTAGTATTTAATGGCTACATTAGCATTTAGGGGTAAAAAGATTGCCTTGCACCTTACTTTTCAATTCCTCTGCAATGTGAATTCAGAGTTGCAAAACAATGTAAGAGTGCGGAGTCTGGAAGTCCTATATTTTGTGTGTATTTACAGATACTTCTATATTATTTACAGAGTTTATGATATCCCTCTTATGGTATCAAATGCACCCTGACCTATTTTTATTAAACACATTTACTGTTTACATTCGCAGGATCTTTTCTTCCAGAAATGGTTCCTAGGATGACAGCTTTGGTTACCTTCTTCCTTTCCCTCCATCTCATGGAGACAAAACTGACTTCATTTCACTGCTAGTATTTATAAACTACCTACTAGAGAGGAGCTGCGAGACAGAAAATGCCATTCTCTTTCCAAACATCTTTCATCTTTAAAAGTCTTTCATTTGTGGATACTGTAATAAAAATATTTTGTGTATCGGTGGTGGAGCTGTTGTCCAAGCAGGCTGTTTAGTAGTTTGGGGGCAAAGATCTGTCCCCAGAAGAGGTCACAACCTCGCGTGGGATGGTAAACACCGTTCCCGCAGCATTGCCCTGCCCCAGATTCATTCCCCTGCCAGCCAAAGCCAGAAGCGAAGCGAGGGATTAGGACAGTGTGACAGATGCCTGGGCTGTGACGCCCCGCCCGGGCGGGCCCTGGGCTCCCGGGGATCCCGCACCCCGACGCGGCTCTGGAGCCCCGCTCCGCCGTCCCTCGTGCGCCCCCTCCCCGCCCGGCACACACGCGCAGGGCGCCTCCTTCCGTCCAGTCGCTGACAAACCAGTTCCAAGTCGCTTTACTCCTCCCAAGTCACAAACCGTCTCCAAACAGGCACCTCCCCCACGGCAAAGACAAAACAGCCCGGGGACCTGCGAGGTGAGTGCCGCGCACCGCTGGGTGGCTGCCCCGTTTCCCCGGGCGTGGCCACATTCCCACGCGTGCGGCTGCAGCCTGTCTCCGCACCCACCTGGGTCACCCGGGAGCCGGCGCTTCCGGCGCCAGGCGGATTCCTACCTCCAGTTTTGAAGTCACCTTCCGAGGGCTCCTCCCGACCCCACTTCTCCGCTCGCTGGCTCTCGTGGTCTCGCGGGGAGCAGCTGGCCCGGGTAATCCGCTCGGCGGGGTTTAAGCCGCCCGGGCGAGCCGGGGCCTGACCACCTGCCGGCCGGGACCGGGACCGGGACGGGCCGCCTGCCGCGCGCCGCTCCCGCAGGGCTTCCCGGAGGAGGCTCGGCTCCGCCGGCTACAGGTCTGGGGAGGACCCGCCTGCCTCCCAGCCCCGGCCGAGGAGGTTATGAAAAGACTGTAATGTAATCCCAGCTCGGCTCGTCACTCCCTGCTCACTTGTCAAAACTCCACGGCATTCCAGAATCCCTTCCCCGGTCACTCCCCTCGCCGGGAAAAGGAAACCGCCCAGGGGAGGACTTCAGGGGGTTCGGGGCTTCGCATTATTCGGACACCTTTGTTTACACCGAGGGCTCCGGAGCCTCCTGCGGTCGAGCGGGCGCGAGGGGAAAACGCCCCGCCAAGCCCAGTACCCACGCCCGGCTTAAAAGTTCCCCCTCCGCGAGGAGCTCCACCCCCGGCATCAATTCACTTCGTAACCTAATTAGCAGCAGCGTGGGTTCTTGAGGAGGGTAGGGGGAGCACCCAGTTACAATCAGGGAACTTTCCAGAAATCTACAGTCAGAGTCTTTCTGCTGGAGCAACCGAGTGTACCACCGCTGCATTACGGTCGCTGGTGACTGCACAACTTAAGCATTTCCTCTACACCTTCTCCCGCCCCTCCCACCTTCAGCGGGGTTCAGTCAGCAAGTCGTCCCCCAGAGGCCGGAAGGGGCCTGGGCCTTGCAGCCATCTCTCCAGCTGCAAACTGATGAGGAAGCCTGACCCACGAGGCTCGATTGTTTACATCACACCCACTGAGGCTTCCTGTCTTAAATTAATGGGAATACAAATAAGACAGGAAAAGAGTGTTTGCTTTTCTTAAAGCAGGAGAGGGGGCTGGCAGAGGGAGGGGGAGTCACCCCACGTTTCAGTGCTTTTCAGAAACTTCAGTTGTATGTTATTCCATTTTGCCAGTCCTAACACTTGTTGAAAAGTAAAAAGCATCATGGTGCCAAACCTCAAACCGCTGCGGAACTTCTGCTCAGAACACATTTTCACCTGGCTTGGAAAGGCATCCAAGGTGGTGTTCCCAGGGAGCTGAGCTAGAGGTATACAGAGCTCCTGAGGCTGAGTGGCACAAATCTCAGCGCAAACATACTCACTAGAGCCCTGGGCCGCCCTCCCAGACTTGCACAGACAGGCACACACTCACCCTCCTCCTTGGGGTTTGTACCAGACTCTTGCCCCGGTCCCACTGCAGCCCTCTGTCTCCAAGTTACGTTTGTGGGCATCTAGCAGCCCCTAAAAGTCAATGAGCTTTGCAACGGACAGGTCTGGTGGAATTTGAAGCAATTAATTATAGTGGAGGAGGCAAAAGAAGGCTTCAATTCCCAGTACCATTACTGCCACTGAATGGGTAATTAGAGCCCAGGAGAGGCCAACCCATGTCAAGCCCAGGCTGGAAATCTGCCCACTCTCCAGAGCAGCCCAAGAGCACACAGTAAATAATCATCATAATTACCCAGTCCTGGAATTACCCCCACTTGCTTCCTTCAGGTCGGTGCAACAGCCAACCCGGAAACAGGCAGGAGTGCCAGCCAACCCATGGCATGCCTCCCTTGGAACTACTGAAAGGAAACAAAACCCCAAGATAAAGTTTATCTGAAAGAGATGTGGGTACTGCAACCAACAATACCTTGTGGAATTTAGGAGAACACTGCATGTGCCCAAGTGAGAATAAGCTTTGCAAGCAGTCCTCAAAACACTGCAATTCCTGTGTCACCGCAGACTCAGCTGATGATTTTAGAAAACGCCAAGGTATTAGAACTCTCTAATAGAAAGTGTCCGGCTTACAAATATTATAAAGGTCTCAATGCACGATAGCTCCTTCCCCCTTCCTGCTTTTCTGCCAAAGGGTGATAGTCCTGATAGATTCATTAGCATCCTTTTATGTGGCATCTGGGTATATGATAAGTCTTCTGGGAATTAGGTTCAAATTGAATAATTTTGTAATAATTTCAGAAATACTCTTTTTCTTCCTTTCTGAGTGCTTTTTCCACTGACAGTTTCCTAATGTTTTAGATTCTAACATTATCCACTCCTTCAATCAGGTACATAATTGATGATACGTATTCAATCAGGTACATATACATAATTAATTTACACATAAGTGTGTAAATTAATGCTGTTTAAAGTATATCTATGGTTTTCAATATAAAGCAAATAAATATTCTGCCCCTTCCCCATCTTTGTTGCCTAAGCTCAGTTTAGGATGTGTATGTACTGGGAATTAAACGTTTGACCACATCTGTATAATACCTTAATTTCAGGAAAGCGTTTGCATGCGTATGTCATTCTCATCAGCAGGCCAAAAGATATGATCTAGTCCGGCTTTTCCCTAACCAGGTTTCACTGCTGACTGGAAAAGAGATCAATGGCTCAGTAAACAAAGGGATACTTAAAATGTGGTCTACGATTTTATCCTGGGTCTGTTTTAAATAATACTTGAGATTGCTATATGCACAGGCAGAGTCTACAAATACCATTAATTTGAGTGGGAACTGCTGATAACGCTGAGAGAATCCAAAGTAGCTTCCATACATTAAGGAAACGGGTCATTAAGAACAGTTTAGAGTTCAGCATGATGGCTGATTACAAAGTAGTATCCTCAGGGGTCATGATCAAAATGACAGGCACAAATAGGCCTTAATGTCTAGATGCAAGAAAAACTGACAAAGAGGTGAGGCTCACAGCAGATCGTGCATTTAATAGGCATCCATCCGCATGTTGTACTGATAAGAAATGGGCAACGCAGTGCTGGGGTGAATTCACATTGGTGGGAGTCTGACACGAGAGGGAAGTGCCTCCTCTTCTCCCTACCCCATAAGAAAGAATTTGGCGGCAGACAGACTCCTGCTGAGGGGGTATCTCCAGGCTGAGGCCCCTTACTTTAAGGAAGATGTGGAGACACTGGAAAGGTTCCAAAGGAGAACCTAAATGATTAAAGAAACAGAAAATAGAACCTATGAGGGAAGGTTAGAGGATTTGGAGTTGTTTAGTCTACAGTGAAAAAGTGCCTAAAGACAAACTTAACAATCTTTTCCTACTTGAAGGGTTATTATAAAGAGGATATTGACCAGCTGTTCTTCATCTCTTCAGAGGCTAGAAGAGGTAAGGGACTCAAAATATAACATGAGAATTTGGGTCTGATATGAAGACTTGCTTAATCCTAATCTTAACTCACTGGGACCTTAGCCTTGTTTGACATCACTGTGCTGTCTCCATCTGTCAGACTACGTCCTAAGTGGTGGTCTTGCATGATTAGGCAGAAGTGAGGGTAGAGCACTCCTTCCATTTCCTTCTAGAACTACAGCATTCTTCAGTTATTACACCAATAAGAGGTTCAGGGAGTAGAGATCCTGAACCTTTATGTTTCCTAACTCATAAACAAGGTGCAATGAGAATGCAACATTCCCCTAAAATACTGGACCTTCTTTTTTTATTGGAGTGGGTACCTCTAAGAATGTGCCCAATATAGACAGATGATAAGTATATTTCATAGATTCACTTCTATATATTGTTTCTATGTATAGGATACATTGTTTTTTGTTTAGTAGGCATAAATATTAGTTGATGATAATGATAATAATAGCTATGAATTATTAAGCTCTTGCTATAATTACGTTGGGCACTATGCTAAGTACATTATGTATGTTATCCATCTTTCTTTTTTTTTTTTACAGTAGCCTTGTGAAGTGGGAATAATTATTAGCCTTATTGTAACACAAGGAACTGAATAACTGAGTCACAAAGAGCTTAAGTAACACAGCTAGTAAATGTTGGAGTCCCAATTCTAACCCACTTAGTCTGACTCAAAAGGGTGTGCTTAATCATTACCCCACTGCCTCTTATCATTAAGTATTTCTAGCTATTCGGAGGGAAGAAACATTGCAAAAAGAAGCATTTATGCATAATTATGGGCCCAAACTGATTAAAAACCAAACCTTCCACAGGTTTACATTGCCTGTGGAACAAAAGTGTCCTTTCCCAGCATAACAGAATAAGAGAAGGACTCTGTTCACTTTCTGATAGGGAGGGTGCATTGCTCTCTCCCACAAAGCTGAAGAATCCAATCAAGAGTCATCCCTATTTCATCAGTTCTAAAAATTTAGTTATTCTTCTATAATCTAACCTTGCAAAGCAGGTCTCCTGTGACTCTAGAATGAATGAATACAAACACACTACGACTGATGCCTAGGACACGCTGAGCCAAACTGTGGTCTTCCAGCACGTTGGTGGTCACGGCTTTGGCCAGTCATTTCTATGGGCCTCTTATCATATGTCCCCTCAGAGTCTTAAAATCCAACATTTTTTTAAAATTTAGCATCCATGAGAAAGCATACGGATGGGTCACATATTTTCTCAATGTCAACTACTTTTAGATCAAGACAAGATTTTTTAATGAGGTTTATTGAGTGCTGTTGTATATCAACAATAGATGATTCATGGGTGAAACAGACATCAAAATGATTTTTAGAAAGGCAAGTAAACCACACACAAAAAATAAAAAAAGCCTGATCCAAATTACTCTGAAGGACAGATATTTTCCCATTAGGACAATTTATCCTGAATCTATAAACAGAGAGGGGCATAATTATACAAGTGTTTGCTAACAGATCTAAACCTTATGCAGCTATAAAGCGCTGGAGAGAGGAAGAAAGCGGAAATTCCCAGAAGAAGATTCCCCACCCACATCCAGGGCCATCAGCTCTCCATAAATACAAAGCCCAGCAGTGGCACCAACCAAAGCACGAGAAGAAACCTCAGGATTTTAATGCAACCCACAAAAAATAACTTTGAATGGTCCTAAAACTAAACAATGACAATTCTAGCCAATAAATGTACAGCTAACACATGGGTAGAGTGGTGACTTATTGGTGATCCAGATGTGGTTAATAGAAACCTGCTGGCCAGAATTAAAAAGGTATTCAGTAAAATGTTGATTGAATGGATGGATGAGTGAATGAATGTTTGAACAGATGCCCATGCCTCTTTCCCCCACAGAGGGGCTGAGCCATTTAACACTAGTATCCTAGGAACAGAACAGTTCATGGAACCAGAGATTGATTTCTGATCCAAATTTGTGATCTTGCCATGAACACAGGAAGGGGAATTCTGGTACCTGTGGAACATCTTTGCAGGTCTTGATTCAAAAGCTGCCATTATTTACAGTATAGATTCTAAACTCTATTTGAAGTCCAACAGAATCAAGTACTGAATAGCAACTATTGAGCACTTATGGGATGCTGAGTTCTATTCTAGTCCTTTGCATATTAGCTCATTAAATCCTCATTACAATCTAAGAGTATGTACTATTATTACCAATCCATTTACAGGCAATGAAACTGGGTCACGACATTACCTAACTAGCTCATGGTCACAAAACTAAGAAGAAGAGGAGCTGGAATTCAAATGGAGTCCATTTGGAACCAGTGCTTGCTCTTAACTGCTACCCAACGCTGTCTGCTCAAATCTTACCTCCCCTCAGCACAAACTCACACTGCTGACCCACAAATATGCAAAGAATGTTCAAATCTCTGCAGGATGTGTTCCCTGACTACCTAGCCCACTGTTACCTCTCTCTTCTGAGCACTCTCCCCACTTATTCTCCAGAGAACACACTGGAACTTATGTGGCTGACATCACATCTCTCCAGCCAGGTCTGAAATTCCTTTGGGGTTCGAATCAAGTGTTGTATGGCAGTCTGGAGATGTAGTGGAATAAGAAAGACTTAGGTTTCAAATCCAAATCCCACATTTATTACCACTGGGACTGTGGGCAAGTTATTTAACATTTCCTACTCTTATATTCAAGCCATCTTCCTTAAGAGCCCTTAAATTAGGAAGTGTAGGATGTCTAGGATGTGTCTAGTATGTCTAGGATGGTGTTTAGGATGTCTAAGATTATAAGCTAGTGATTCTCAATTGGGTGCTATTTTGTACCCTTTGTCACAGGAGCACTTGGCAATGTCTGCAGGTATTTTTGACAGTCAAAACTGGGGGGAGGAGCCTGGGTAGCTCACCATCCTACAACACACAGGATAGTCCCTCTCAACAAAGGATTATCCAGTCCAAAATGTAAATAGTGCTGAGGTTGAGAAACCTTGCTGTAAGCTATCGAAAAAAATTTATTAAAATCATCCTTTCTCTTTCCCTCATTTCTTACAGTACTGTGCTTATAGTAGATATTCAGTAAATCATTGTTAAGTAAATCTCTGCATAAATGGAGCACGTGAACATGTAAGTCCTTAGATTTTTTGCTAGTAACACCTGAGTTGAAGGTGTGGTCTTGTTGAGGCAGGGGTTTGGGTGGGAGTTGACACAGCCTTCAAATGCCCATGCCCAGTGAAAGGAATTCTGAAATAAACAACAATTTAATACTGGGAGCCTGAGCCCAGTGAAAGGGACGTCAAAGTTGATCCTAGGACAGCTGAAGCACTTGGACAAAGGTCAGCTTCTCCCCATTGGTGGCTTCCCCAGTGACTTGCTATTATGCTGCAAATACTGCCTCATGTGATTTTAATCCCCATTCCAAAGAATAATACAGCAAAAGAGCCAGAAGATCATGGAAGGATTTGTTCAATCTCTCACCCTTTGTCCACCACTCATTCCTGCAACCACCACACACAACCTGGAGCTCCAGTGCAATGGAGTCTCATCAAGACTGCTGTTTGAAAAACGTGGTAGAAGCAAAAAGGACATATGAGGGCTGTCTGGAAAGTGTCCAGCCATTGTTAATGTAACAAGAATGGTTACATGGCTGGATACTTTCCGGCTACAAGCCATTACTTGTAGCCTTCAATACGTTCAATAAACATTAGAAACTCAGGGAGAAAAGCCTACATTTCTGGTTTTAGCATAAATCACATTAACAAAAACCAGAAGACCAAAAAGACAGAGACAGAAGAAAATTCTCTCCATTTCCCATTATCCAGACTTGGTGGCAATATCTTCTTCCATTCCCATCTTTTACAAACAGAAAACATAAATGATATTTGTGTAGTAGCATATGAGAAAATTTAAAACTTAGCTATAGTCTCCAGGCATCTATAAGCATCTCTAGGAGATGTCTTGAACTAAACTACCTATTCAAAACTGTACAGAACAAGACAGGTTCTTACCTTGGCCTGTGGACACTCTAACCACCCTCATCTGGCCAATTCCTGCTCATCTCTTAGAACTCAGCTTAGACATCACCTTCTCCAGGGACCCAGCCTGACCCTCCCCTGGAATATAATTCAGGTCCCTCCTTGGTGCCCATTCACCTATCTGCTTACCTTTGTAGACTGTGAGCTCTTTTAAGGGGAAGGTCATGTGGACTTGTTTATTATTTTATTCCTAGGGTCTAGCACTGCACTTAGCACATACAGGTGCCCAATAAATATTTGTTCAATGAATGGGTATAAAGCAGGAGACTTCTAAATGCATGAATTCCTGCAACTACTTATCATGTGCCTACTATGAACCAGGTACACAGCTAGGCACTGGGGAAACAACTATTAGTAGCCCCATATTAACAACAACAACAATAAAAAGAACCACAGCTAACATTTGATGGACATTTAATATGTACCAGACATCATGTTAAGCTCTTATATTCTCTCTTAGTCCTCCCTGAAAATTCCCATGTGGCAGACACCATTATTATTTTCATTGAACAGATGAAGAAAGACATCAAATTACTCACATAGCTCTTAATGTAAAAGAATCACTAACATTTATATTCCCAGGCATCTATTTACATGGGCTTAACTCATGCCAACTAAGAAAAAGGTACACATAAATTCACTCATGAGCTTTTCTGATGGCTGTCACCTTGCCTGGAGTGTCCCTACCCACTCGTCATATTGTTTGACATTTACTTTAGATATTTTGATACAGACTGCGTGATGTCAAGTGATGTCAACCGTCATCTAAGAAGCCACGAGCTACGTGTAAAGGACACTTATCAGGAGTCTACGTTCCACAGCTGCCTCTGCAGCTGCAGCGAACACTGGAAATGCCATTATCCAAATCTGCCACAAAAGGTTCTGTAGTTACCAAAGTGGAAGTTAAAAATATTTCTTTCATCTGTGAAATGAGAGATTTAAGATAAGTTGCTTAGAAAGGTTTATACAGGCACTTCTGTCTTTGCATCCTGAGCTGTAAGAAGTGGGGGCAGACAGCTCCTGAACACCTCTGAGTGTTAGCTTTAGCTGTGGAGATGGGGCTGGGGTCCTCCCAGTGAGTGGAGGATTAGGTCACTGGGCCCGTTGATACAGTCGGGAGAGTCTTCCTTCAGAGTACTGTTGCATGTGCTTCCGAGTGAACCTACTGGGATTAAAGCACCTACAAGAGCAAGCAATGGAGACGTCATTGCCAAACTTACTGATGAAGCAAGTTGTGGCATTAGTTCCATGCCTGCTTGCTAAAATACCCACTCTGCCTCTGGGTGGGAGTCAAGGACTTGCTTTCATGGTAACCTACCACCTGGCTGAGAGGTTGTAGGTCAGGAGATGTACGGTTCCCAACCTTTCCTGATAATCAGGGGCTGTAGATGTTGAACAAAAGAAGTGACAACTGTGAGCAGCCCCTTGGCTCAGGCATGTCTGCAACTCTCCCTTTCCCTGCCTTGGTCTCTTGGCAAACACCCATTCATCTTTTAACACTCTGCTCAAAACTCCTCCTTAGTGCAAAGGCTTTCTTGATAAATCACCTGCCCTCGGGAGCTCTGAGTTGCTGAAATGGCTGCCTGTGCATCGCCAAGATCCTTTTGATAAACCCTGATCTCCAGAGATATCCTGGGCAAGTCTCTTCCTGCACCCTGAAAAAGTCTAATTTAGCACAGGGGTTGATTTGCAAATATGGCTTACTGAGCCAGGTGTCATGCTAGGTGCAGCGGTGGGACAAGGAAGCAGCAGGCAGTTGCATGTGTGGCAGGAAACTGGCCAAGTCCCCGGGAGCTGGGAGAAGCCTCCTGAGAGGCTTAGGGAGGTTAGGGAGGGCTTCCAGAAGAAGTCACTGTAAAATGAGCCTGGAAGACAAGATTCCAGCAAGTGGAAACGGCAAGTGCAAAGGTCCGTAGTCGAGACGGGGGATGCCACGTCAGTGGATTAAACAAGTTCATTCTTGGCTGCAGGTTTGGTGGGCCTGGGACCAGTGTGAGGAAAGTGGGAAACTGAACAGGGGCTGAAGAAGTAGGGCTTTTGGGAGGCAGTGGTTTGGGCTTCGCCCTTGAAGGGCTTTGTGCAGAGGAGTGGTGTGAACAGTGTAATTTCCATGTTAGAAAAATTACACTGGCTTCAAGGAGGAGAATATTCCAGAAGGCCAGCTGGGCAGAGGCAGAGAGAGGGATGAGGAGGTTGTCACATGAATCCAGGCAAGAAAAGACAGTACCTGGCCTGGAAGAGTTGCTATGGGCCAATGCTTCCTTTCTGTCAGAGATAAAAACTCTAGAGTTGCTCTGTTTACTGCTCTCTCCTGCTAGACTGTCAATCCCTTGAGGGCAGAAATCAGAATTAACTCATCTCTGGAGCCTCCATGGCCACAGGTGGTAAAGCCCTCAGTAAAGGGTTGGTTGGTGCATGTTGAATGGCAGAATACCTTATGCAGAAAAATGATTTCCTTTTGCTAGATTCCTGGCCACTAGGCCCCCACCCTCTCCCCTTAGGTATCCTCTCTGCCACGGCTGCCTGCAAAGATCTCTTCACCAATTACCAGACTCCTTTTGCATGTAGTCTCTCCAAAGTACAGAGTGACTCCCACTTCCTTTGAAATAAAGCACAGACTTTGATTCTGGTCTTCACAGCCCCCTAGATATCTTGCATGGCTCTTTTCTCCCACTTAGAGAGCCCCCTATCTCCCCATCTCTAACATTTTCCAGTGGGAAACTCACTTATGAGGAGTGGCTACCTCCCTCCCATCTGGTATCCCAAGTCCATTTCATTATTAAGTAGAAAACAGTCCCCGCATCTGCAAGAAGCATTCGTGAACTCCGGCTGACCTGACACAGAATCTTATCCAATCCTAATCCCATTAATACATGCTCCTGTCAATTTCGTATGACTTGATGTTTTCTCCATGTTTTCTCTTCAAAGACAAAATACCAGGGCATTATAGATGCATGTCTTTTTCTCTACCTCATTGCCTGTACCTGCTCCATCCTCCTCTTGCCCTGTTCCCTGGACCAATCAAAGAAACATGTTCCAGCCCACAGAAGTCTTCCACATTGACCTCTGAGAACTGGGCATTTGGCAACATGAACTTAGAAGCAGAAAATCTGCTGCAGCCTTTACCCACCTCTAGGTCCACACCCAGCCCTCCAGATGGTTTTATAATAATGAGGACTGTTACTGAGAAGGGTCTTCTATAAGGAGAGTTAAAGCTGCGTAGTATCCCAGAGGCTGTTCCTTCATCAAGCAGGGGCTGGTTCCCTTCCTTGCATAGGTTTATACTAATGTTGCCAGATAAAATTCAGGAGACCCAGCTAAATTTGAATTACAGATGAAAAATGAATAATTTTTCACTCTAAATAGGTCCCAAATATCACATGGAATTTTTCATTTGCTAAATCTGACAACCTTAATTTGCACTTGTTACTTGGTCTTTATAAAAATCACTTCTATGCTTATTAGTAGGTGAATAATTATACAGAAAACAAAACATATACACGGTTTTAAGAATTGGGACTCTGAAGATATCCTTTGTGGTCTCTGTTTCTTACTCTGATGGACATCTTCTTACAAGGATACGTTTTTAATCATTTTCTTTATAGCTGTCTTGAAGTCCCTCACCTTTGCCTAACCTTTCTCGCTCGATTTATAATTCTCTTCCCATGATCACTCTTCTCGCATCATTAAGTTCAACCACTTTGACCCTTCTTCCCTTCCCAAGCAATTACCATCCAATGGAGGGCTTCACCTTGACTTGCTCTCTTATGGTGATGTATCAAAATGTCTCCTCTTTACAAGCCAATGAACCACATTAAGGAAACACGGAGCAGGTGGTATGTTGCTCCTCCAATTCTTCCACAACGACCTCAAGGATCAGATTCCTCTTCCTAATTACTCCATGCTCTCCAACTCTAAGAAACCCTCCAGAAAAGCAACTGTAGGACTCCAGCCTCAGCTCTGAGCTGGTCCACCTCTGCTCTCCATCGGCTGGAGAAGCTCCTAGTTGAGAAAAGCAAAGGACTAGATAAAGCCTCAAATAATTTTCTCGAAGATGAAAAAACCAGCTTCCTCTCCAGGTTTCATCTCAATCTTTAAAAACCATGCTGTTTACAAATGGCACTGTGCAAAGGGCCCACCTAACATCACCCCGTGGAGTGTGGAGCTTAACTCATTTATAAAAGCATGTCTGGGGGGAAATGGTATGAAGGGGAACTATAACCCTGCTACCCCAATTTACACATGGGAGCACTGTGGAGGAGACACAGAGAGGGAACCAGGATAGCACATATGATCTGATGGAGACCTGGGTGGGCTAGTTAAGAAGGAAAGAGAGGTGGGCGCAGTGGCTCAGACCTATAATCCTAGCACTCTGGGAGGCTGAGGCAGGAGGATCGCTTGAGCCTAGGAATTCATGACCAGCCTGAGTAAGAGTGAGACCTCATCTCTTCAAAAAAAAAAAACCAAAAATTATACAGGTGTGGTGGTGCATGCCTGTAGTCTCAGCTACTAGGGAGGCTGAGGCAGGAGGATCGCTTGAGCCCAGGAGTTTGAGGTTGCAGTGAGCTATGATGATGCCACTGCTCTCTAGCCTGGGCAACAGAGACCCTGTCTCAAAAAAAATTAAATTAAAAAAAAGGAAATTAGTGAGATCAAGACAAAATTGTTAATATATCCAGGAGGGAATAACACTTTGAGTTACTGGAGTCAAGAAGAACATCATTAAAAACAGCCATGGTGGTAAAAAAAAAAATGTAATTTAACTGCTATTAGTAATAAAAGTATTAGTGAGTCATAAAAATATTAGTAATTAGTCATAAAAGGCTTCTATACATTTTTCAACTTCTGTCATATTGTCAGTATTGTCGTTGTTTTTATCAGGTTATCACGTCATCCCACAAAGAAGAAGGACAACAGATACTATTATCCCCACTGCACAAGTGAGGAAACTGCAATGAGGAGGATGCAGGAACTGCCAGGAACACAGGTTTCTCGACTCCTGGTCCAGGGTGCCTTCCTTGCCTACCAGGTAGTTGCTACTCTATTAAGAACCAGCTCAGCCCTGGCCAGGAAGCTGCCTTGCCCCAGTGCCTTACCCCAATGCCTTACCCCAATGCCTTCGGAAGGATGCGCTGTGTGGGTGAGCAGACCCCGGGAAGCACAGAGACTATGGAGCTGTGGGGCCTGGGTTTGGATCTCAGCCCCCAGCAGCCTAGATTCTCTCCTCTGTAACTGGGGACAATGGCAATTACCTGGCAGAGGTGAGTGAGCTATAATGAGCCGGCATATAACTGTAAATGTGCATAAACATTATTTTAACAATGATAGTAATTGTAGGTTCAAGAATCTAACTTGTGTAGAAGAGTTCAAATATATGCAAATCTCCACTAAGACAGGGATGAAACAGAGGAGAGCTGGTAGCTTCTGAAAGCTACCAAAAGGCTTATCAAATTATATGTTTTTTTTAAGTGACAAGAGAAAGTTACAAATTAATAATGGCTCACGTTCGTCCAGTGCTCACTGTGTGTCAGACACTGCGGTAAGCCTTAACATGCATATCCTCATTTAATCTCTCATCACCTTATGAGCTAGGTACTGTTCTTCTTCATTCCATTTTCCAGTCAGGGAAACCTTCACTTAATGGGATTCAGAAATTGCCCAAGGTCACACATTTCGTAAGTGGTAGGATCAGGACTCATCAAGTTCATGCTCTTAGACATGTGTAGCACAACCACACCATTCTTGTAGATGTGTGTGTGTTTTTGTGTGTATGCACATGCACGTAAACAGCTCAGAAAAAAACACACAATACATTAACAGTAGTTCCCACTGGGTGGTAGGATAACAGGTGATATTCACTGTCTTCTGTACGCCTTGCTGAATTGAGAATACAGTGCTTTGATAATTTAAAATGGTTTTCCTTTTGATAACAAAGTTTAAAAAGTAAACCAAAATGAGGCTTCATGAACATAATGCAAATGACTACCATTCGGATGCATGTGAGGGGAGGAGAGATATAAATAACCATAGTAATTTGAAGGCCCATTTAATTAAACTTTCAGGGTTTTTCTTTTTTCCAATCAAAGAAAACTTCAGGCCTGGCACAATGGCTTGCGCCTGTAATTCCAGCTATTTGAGAGGCTGGGGCAGAAGGATCCCTTGAGCTTAGGAGTTCGAGACCAGCCTGGGCAAATCTTCTAAATAAAGTGAGCTTCTTGAAAATAAAGATTATATTCCTCCCTGCCATCTAGGTTCCTGTCCTTTGGGCAGTGTGTCTAAGTTCTAAACCTTAAATGTGCTCATGATTTGAGCATCAACAGTAACCCCAAGGTTTGCCAATTAGTTACTCTGTAATATCACCAATGAGTTCTTAAAATCTGTTTTCTTTGTTTTGCCCTATTTTCCCTTTGATGATTATTTATAACTTCCGAGCAAACTCCTTTCCCTTCTCTGGTCATTACTGAGGATAAAATGATGAGAGATCACCCGAGCAAACATTCGTCTTGCTGTTTGCTCTGAATTCTGGAGTCCTCTTCAAGGAGAACTGCGATGATGTATTAAGATTGCACACCCCCTGTAAACAGAGCTCGTCTTCAAAGATGACCTCGGTGGGGGAGTAAAGGAATTGAAAGCAAATGGAAGGCACTCAAAAGTGAGGACCTTTTCTTGTTTTTCTACAGTTGGCAACAATGAGGGAGGAGGCATGAGAGCCCCGTGTCCCCCAGAACAGAGGCCCCAATCTCTTCCTGGTGAGAGAGAGCTGCTTAGGGGTCTCCCCCAAGTTACATGATCCGGAGGGTGGGAGGGGCCTGTGCCTCCTCCAAGGGGAGGCTGGAGGATTCGGAGGCTGTGTCCTCCCCACCATCCCTTTAGAGACTGCTTGGAAGATGAAGCTAAGGTGCTCTCAGGAAAGCAACAGCACAGAGTTTAACTAAGCCAGGCATCCAGCTTGTGTTCACGGACCGCACCTCCTGGGAACGCCCCAGACCTGGAATTCTCCATGCCTGGGCTAGGCGCCCTGACTGTGTGATAATGTAAGGGTATCAGGGAGGTTTGGGAATCAAATTTGCATTGATATCAGATATCACTAAGTCAGTGAAAAACCACTACTGAAAACCACGAGTTTGTGAAGAAAATAGTGACCACTTGTTTGCCTAGCGCAGGGGTGAGGAACCTGCTGCCTTAAGGCCACATGTGGCCTTCTAGGTCCTTCAGTGTGGCCTTTTGACTGAATCCAAATTTTACAGAACAAATGCTTTTATTTTTATTAATATATTTTTGTTCATCTTTTATATTTTTACTTTCTTCTTAAAATAAATGTATTTAAAATACCAAAGAATAAAAGAAATTTCAATGAAATAATCCTCCCAGATTGGGTAGCACAATTAGAACATTAGTAAGCCACAAGGGCTAAATTGGTGGCTGCTATGCTCATGATTTAGTTCTAACCTTCCTCACTTTATTGGCACCACTACCCCACAAGGCTGGTTAGTGAGAGATTATAGGGGTCGAGAAAGCCAGTCTGTTATCAGCTTTTGACAAAGGTACCCTGTGTTTTGTTTGAAGTGGAATTTGTGAATAGTTGCACAGCTCAACAGTATTTTTTAGTTCTGCCTGCTTAACAGCTCATCATGTCAAAGAAGGCCAAGAGAACACTGAAGGAAGAAAACATTTTTTAATGAGGATTGGGAATCGCAATATTATCTTGTTTCTGCCAAAGATAAAATGATTTGCTTGCTTTCCGATACTGCAATATCAACATTAAAGAAATTCAATGCTTATCAGCATTATAACACTTATAGGTACCACAAATATTTTAAATTAGAGGGAGAGGCACAAAAGGTTGTATTGCAGAAAACTAAAAGACGAAAAGCAAAAACAAAGATGATTCTTTCAAACAGCAATAAGACCTGGAAATAATGCCACTGAAGCGACTTATTTATAAAGTAGCTTATATACATGAGGATAAAGGGGAAGCCACACAGTGATGTAGAAATTGTGAGAGAATGCATTGTCAAAGTCGTAGGATGCCCCAGTGACATTTCTAAATACAAATAACTGCCTATTTCAAGGAGAACCATAAGTGATCGGCAGCATGAATTAGTCTTCAACTTAACAGAACAACTTCATGCATTACTTCAAAAGGAAAATATATATTATTCGATCACTTTGGATGAATCAATTGATACTACTGACTCGGCGCAGGTTTTATACTTCATTCCAGTCATAATGGAAGATTTTCTTTGCTACGAAGAGTTACTCACTTTGGACACTCTTGTGAACAGAATATGGTGAATAGATATCTTCAATAACTTTCAAGATAAATGTCATGAAGTTGGACTGAGTTTGGTAAATTCAGTGAGTGTATGTACAGAAGATGCACCTTCCATAACAAGAAAACATGAAGGGTTTATTGCACAGATTTAAAAAAGTATTAACGGATCCAGATGCTCTCCTTTCTTTTCCTTGTATCTGGCATCAGCAAAATCTCTGTGCTAAAGCTACTATTTGGAGTGACACTTTTTTCAACAAGTTATAAGTATAGCCTATAATAAGTCTCGTTAACTATATTGGTGCAAAGGCAACAATGCTAAAGTTGAACATGAGGTATTCAGTGTGGATTTGCCATATCATTCTAAAGTGTGCTGGCTATCACAGGGACAGGTGTTAGCCAAAATTTTCTCTCTCCAAGAACAGATAGTTAAATTTTATGAAGAACAGAATCAGCAATGTGAATTATTAAAAGAAGGTTTCTATAGGACTGCAGCATTTCTGTGCGAGATATCATGTCAAATCAAAATGACTTGGATATTTCTTTGCAAGGTAAAACTAAGTCTATATATGATATATGGCAAAAAAATTCCAAGCATTTCAAAAAAAAAGCTATCTTTTTTCAAAACATTTCTTCAAAAGGAAATTTTGGGTGAACATTTTCCCTAGTTACCAAGGTCATTGATGAGCAGGATGATATATGCGAGTCATTTGAAGAACACCCAGCTGTTATAGACCTAGTACTTGGAGGATACAATGAAAGGTGCACTGGCTTTGAGAATCATGGCATCACACTCAAATTGGCATTTCAGCCTCACCTATTTGATATCACAAAGGCACTTAAAGAACTACAGATGGAACTGATTGAGCTCTCAGTAGATGCCATTTTAAAGTCATTGTCTGAGGCTAAGAAAGATCCAATTGAAATATGGAAAAATGCAGTACAATGCCCACACCACCTTTGGCAACATGCCTGAAAAATGCTTTCTTGCTTTTCAACCACTTATTGCTGTGAAGCTACATTTTCCTACCTAACTCAAATCAAGATGCCCTTAAGGTCACAAATGACAGGTACCCATCCAGAGGATCAACTGAAAACTGTGGACCT